AGTTAGGCCGAACAACAAGAGCCAAGCTCTCGAACCATGCATGAGGGATCAAAAACTATGAGTTTCCTTTGCTGGCACCAATGGCGTTGGATTTTGGACTGGCATGTTTCAATGGTGTCATCCGCAGTCCTAAGCAAAAGGGATAACTTCGAAGATTGGCTACTTCTACATTTATATCTTGGTGGATTTAGAACCTAAGCTGGAATGCAACAGGGAAACGAACAAATGTTTTACCACCGACCCTAGTTTCACAAAAGAATAATGCGATGGACTCCCATTTGGTTAAGGTTGTAAACCGAAGATGTGAAAGGATCGGCTTTCTAGAGACATTAAAAGAGTTTACAAAATGGTTCAAAATATGTTAAACAAGCTGACTTTCAAGTGAAATCAGTGTGGGATTAGTGTTTTATAGTTTCAGCGGGGCTTGATTTTCTTATCCTTGCAGCTACCTGATAGTCTGACTTCTTGAGCCACAAAAGAATTCGCAGCCACTGCGACATTAGAGTGTGTAGCGAAAGGTTAAGCTATCAAACAAATCTGGCGGGGAGGTTAAAAAGCAACCCCGAAAACCTGTACAGCCTCGTGTCGAAAAGGGAGTCAACCAGCGAAGGAGTGAACCTTATTGCATGTCCTGAAGGAGGTGTACTAAGCAGTCTAGAGGGAGAAGAGCCTCTGAACTCACTCCCAAGCTGAACTTAGTGATGACGCCAAATGTAAACCGATTCGATATGACATTGATCAGACCATAAAAATGGGTGCCTCTGCTTGACTGTAGCGACAGAGAAGAAAGTGTTAGGTAGGCTTCCCAGGCTCCGTCAGACAAGTCCTCTGGCTGCGGCAACCTGAGACCGGTAAACCTGAAACACTACTCCGAGGTGTTCGCAAAACCGACCTGCTATCGCTCCCGACACTCAGTGGAACCACACAAACTCGCTGAAGTATAGAAGTGCCCCATCTTGTCATAGATCTTCAAGGGAGGAAACAGAAAAAGTGGCAGTCGCTACAGACTAAGGGCCTTGTTCCCTGTACCGTCTAAGATACCAGAAAGGCTGATAGGTGACGAGGTCTGGGAATTCCTTATGAGGGTGAAAGCCGCCAACACTGGCCAGCGTGGCTTTCGGAGTGGTCGTTCATGTACCAACAACTTGCTGATCATCTGATGTGACTGTGCTTTCAGCTGGGACAACAGAAAACCAGTACACGTTATCTTTCCCGACCTGGCTGAAGCATTTGGCAGTGTTCATCACCACAGTCCTGCTTAAGGTAATCCACATCGGTACCTACGAAGTAGGAACGGCCGACTCTCATTACATTTTGAGCAACCATGGTATCACCAGAGCATCCATGGAAAAGGATTTAAGACACATCACCGATACCATGAACACTTGCTGCAAACTTTCTTCCATAACTAGACCCATGCCATCTACTTTCACCTTTTGTGTAATTCCTACATAATTTATCTCGCCATCTTTCTATTCATACTCAGAAACCCACACAGAGAGGAGCCAAGACAGGCTTGTAATCGTTCGAGCAACCCGTAGCCCCTTGATCATTCTTCAAATCACGATTTATTAGCCCACAAAACATTTACCTCTCCGAAGCTAAAAGTAAGGAAGCAGAAGAGACTTCCTTTTCAACTGCACTAAGAGGGAAGGTGGCAGAAATGAGGACGCTGCGTGCACATCAGCACTCCGACATCATATTCATCACCGAATCCTGGCTCTCGCCAGACATCTCCGACGAAGAGATGCATGTTACTGGCATGGAACTCTTCCGCAGGGACAGGGAACATAGAGCAGGAGGAGGAGTGGCTATCTACGTAAACTCTGTTTAAAGGCAAGGATGGTTAGCGATACGGCCTTAACCCAGGTCCCAGAGTCCCTATGGTGCTACTTCACTCTCCACAGTACCAAATACCTGCTCGGAGTCATATATCGGTCCCCCACCAGCTCCCCTACACATAAGGAAATGATCATCAAGGCTATCTTAACGACTTCCTCTGCAAATTACGATTCCGTAGTCATTGCCGGCGACTTCAACACCCCGTCCATCCTCTTCGAGACGGAAGGGAGACGCATCAGATCCTTCAATCAGAAGCTGAAGGATGCAATTAAGACTGCTGGCCTCTCAGAGAAAGTGGGTGATGCTACACGCTGGGGACCTAACGGAAACGCATCGCGCCTTGACTACGTTCTGACGAACGATGAACTTCTCATTGAGGATGTTTGCATCCAACCTCCCCTTGGCCTCAGTGACCACGCTGTAATCACCTTCTCCATGATAACTAGGGAGGCTCTGCAACTGGAGACGCCCAACACCTTCCCTTGCTACAGCAAGGCCAACTATGAGACCATGAGGGACTACCTCATGAATGCATCATGGCCAGTGGACTGGACTCATCTCACAATAGATGAACACTGGTTGGAGGTGAAGAAAATAATCACTGGGGCCATCAGTCACAGTGTACCAGAAGTAACACACAGACAATCAATGAGAACCTCATGGTTAAAGCGTGGGACAGAGAGGCTTATCCGGAGCAAGAAGCAGGCTTGGTTCAAGTGGCACACATCACGCAGGGAGTCTGACTTCTTGAACTACAAAAGGATTCGCAATCTCTGTAACATTAGAGTGCGTAACGACAGATTTTCCTACCAAACAAACTTGGCAGCGAGGTTACAAAGCAACCCCAAAAACCTGTACCGCTTCATGTCAAGAAGAAAGTCGACCAGTAAGGGAGTGAATCTTGTCACAGGCCATGACGGGAGTGTGCTAAGCAGTCTAGAGATTGCCGAGCTTTTGAGCTCACACTTCCAAGCCCAACTCAGCACTGACACAAGATCCACACCGACTCGCCACGACACCGACCAGGTCGCAAATAACGAATACCTCTGTCACGTCTCTATTACAGAGAAAAAGGTGTTCGAGAAGCTATCTAGGCTACGTCCGGGCAAGTCCCCTGGCTGCGATAACCTGAAACCAGTGGTTCTGAAAAACTGCGCCGAGGTGCTTACCAAACCACTTCGCAACCTCTTTGAGCACTCAATAGACTCGTGCAAACTCCCTAAAGAATGGAAGAGTGCCATCTTGTCACCCATCTTCAAGGGAGGAGACAGAAAAAGCCCTGGCAGCTACAGGCCGATTGCCCTACTCCCTATTGTGTCGAAAGTGTTGGAAAGCCTGGTAGCTGACACCATCTGGGAATTCCTCAATAGGAAAACACTGTCCACACTGCTCAGCACGGCTTTCGTAGTGGTCGCTCATGTGCCACCAACTTACTAACCGCCTGGGACGACTGGACACAAAGCTGGGATAATAGAAAACCTGTACATGTTGTATTTCTCGACCTAGCCAAAGCATTTGACAGTGTCCCACCCACAGTACTGCTTCACAAGATCATGTCAGCTGGTATAAGTGGACCCCTACTCTCTTGGTTCAAGGAGTACCTGGAAGGGAGGCAGTTCTGCACTAAAGTGAACAGAATAAGGTCGGAGTGGAGACCGTCGACGTCAGGAGTATCCCAAGGAGCAATCCTAGGACCGCTTCTGTTCCTCCTGTTTGTCAACGATCTGCCAGACAAAATATCCTCACCCATCCTCCTCTTCGCTGACGACATAAAAATTTGGAGGGTGGTAAACGAAGAAGCCGACTGTGCAGCACTACAAAAGGACTTGCAGCAACTCGAGCTCTGGTCGTCGGAAAATGGCCTGAGCTTCAACCTGGAAAAGTGCAAAGTAATGCACATCAGTAAAAATGAGGCAAGTACGACCGACTTCCAGTACATGTTGAGCAACCGTGCTATCACCAGAGTGTCCATGGAGAAAGATTTGGGGCTCAACTTCTCCGACACCTTGGACACCAGCTCCAACTACAAAGGTATGACAACCAGAGCGAACGCCATTCTACACTTTCTGCGTAGACAGCTTGGCGCCCTCACTCCCGAACTCTTCCTCACCATTTTCAAATCCTACGTGCGGCCGCACCTAGAGGTCTTCAATACGGTGGCTCCTCCAACACTCAAGAGAGACTCTAATCTCCTTGAAAGAATACAAAGAACTGCAACAAAATGTGTTGTGGGGCTAAGGGGAAAGACGTATCCTGAAAGACTTAAACACCTCAACCTATTTACCTTGGGTTATCGCAGGAAAAGGGGTGACCTCATTATGGCATACAAGATCGCCCATCAGGCAGACCATGCAAACAAATCAATTTTGCCTGCAACTGAACGATCTTCACGAGGAAACCCCATTAAGATAGCACACCAGAGAGCCAACACCACACTCAGGTCCAAATTTTTCTCCCTAAGAGTATGTGCTTTATGGAATGCCTTACCGCGACACATCGTTATAGCTCCTTCAATCGACTCTTTCAAGAGGCGATTAGACAGTTATGTCACCTCGCATGGACTACCACGGACGTACTCAGGTAGTCACCAACCTCAGTACCCCCAACTCCCTCCTAACTACCACTCACTATCTCTCTCCTTAATACACCCACATTACCTACTAATTCTTCTGTAGGAACCAAACCCACGCGACCATTCGGGCAATTCCCAAATACTTTTCTTTCGTTCTCATTTCTCTCTTCACCCCTTCTTTTCTTCTCCTTCCCTTTCCTCTTCCCTACATTATTATTACTATTATTTTTATTTTTATTTATTATTTTTTTTTTTTTTTATTTTTTTTATTTATTTTTTCTCTCTTCCTTATCTCTCTCTTCATTCCTTTACCACTACCTTAATATTCTCTTTCAGGTACCTACACAGACAGGAGTCACGGTTGTTCTCTAAACTTCCCAGCAGCCCGTAGCTCCCTAATCACTCTACAAATTACAACCTACTAACCCACAAAACATCCACCTCACCGAAGCTAAAAGCAAGAAAGCAGAGGGGATTTCCTCGTCCACTGCAGGAGTAAACCGAACAACTGGAACCAAGCCCTAAGAACTAGACGCGAGAGATCAAAAACTACCAGTTTTCTACGCTCGCACTATCAATATTGGATATTGGACTAGAGGACCGAACAACTCGAACCAAGCCCTAAGAACTGGAGGTGAGAAAACAAGACTATCAGTTTTCTACGCTGATAATAACAATGGTTTATGTTGTTGTCAGAAGATTGGAGGCGGCGAATCTGGAACAGAGGTTGACCTTGAGTTAATGACCGTCGAACTAGTTGCTGATGCTCCGTACGTTTTCAGTATTAATTTTGATACTTTAGGTGGTATTTTGGAGAAATAAGTAGAGAAAAAGCCAATGAAATTCTAATAGACCAACCAGTTGGCACGTTTTTGATACGCGACAGTACTACTAAGTCTGGCTACGTTCTTGCTATAAAGTATGCTAAGTTTCTTACTTTCTGACAAGCAGAGAGGCCAATGAAGTCAAGCGGTATCTCCTTACATGGGCACCTCAGCTGAAAAAGTTTAAGTTTGGCGATACTCTTTACTCTTCCTTAGAGGAGCTGGTCAGATTACATACATCGCACTCTTCGAGCACTCGCATGAGACAGCCTGCTCAGAAAGCAACTTATGCAGCATTATACTCTTTCCAAGCACAGGTAAAAGAATTTCAGTCGCTATTACTTCGCAGGAGGAAGGTGATCTTTCTTTTCAGAGGGGCGATATATTGACTTTTATTCGACAGAAGCGTGACTGGATACTTTGCAAGTCAAGTGATAGTCAAATTGGCTGGGTTCCTTCAAATTACTTAACTCCAGTAAGTGCTACTGGGATAGAATGCTCATTAACTTGGACGTACTTTTCAAGTGACTTCCAGTACGGTAGATTATGGATTAGGTCTATTACCACGCATTTTTGTTTTTAAGCTTTTCATTGGGATGCTACACTTCTGAAAGTACTCATATAGGTCCTGAGTTCCACTCTTTAGAAGATTTCTAAATCCTTCCAGTTGGGTTTATGTTTCCAGTCATGCACTGAAAACAAGCTTCCGTCATATCGCGTGATTACTGGTTAAGTTCATCAACTCTCTGAGCAGTCCTATGGCTAGACTGACCAAATTATGTGTTGTGAACAGTGTTTGAAATCGAATTTTTAGCTTGTATTTACTTTTTCTTCCTTCGGCAACGGAGCCTTTGCTTTGGACAATGTGCTCTTTACTGGCTCGGGTGGCTTGTGTCCCGTCCCAATTTCGAATGGATGAGCAGTCGGTTGACAGAGACTAAAATCAACGTAGAACCCCGCAGAGAGGAGTATTGGTTCGACTTGCCTTACTTCATGTGAAAAACAAGTAAGTAGAAAAAGAAAGATGTCAAAATCGACAAAAGTGTATGCCAAAGCCAAATCCAAAAATGGTCAGTCAAAAATATTGAAGCTTTAGAAGATGCAATTGTAACCGACTTTCACTAATCTCACCAAGAGTCTTCAGCTATTGATTCATATTATCTCAAAGTGTCCCGCCAGGCAATCTACATCTTAAATGGCTCAGATCGACTAGTGCCACGTCTTGTTCTCGTCATACAGCATTTTACCAACCCGTTTCACATCATGAAAAGCTATGGCTCATGCGCAAAGTGTGTCCAAGCCACCTTAGTCGCTGAAGGTTCACAATCTCACTAATCGACTTGCCTTTCTTGCGTAACCTCGACATTACTGAAACGGGGATTCCGCCATAAGCGAGGTATGCTAGAAAAACACCTGTGATCAAAAATGTGTACTATACTTTATGCCTTCTACTTCCAACAGCCATGTCTCACAGCCACGTAAAGGACTATAGTACAGTGTACTCATCCTTCAATAAGTAGTGGGATACCCCATGGATGGCAGAGATAATGCAGATGGGCAAATGCCAAGTGGGCTTTCTGTATCTCAGCTGAGATTTCGTCAGCGACCACTTCGTTCTGGCCATTGCGGCTTCCTTAATAAGTGAAGCAGTCGACGCATACCACCACTTCACTCACTACTTTTCAACTAGTAGTGCAGACCAGTCATGAAGCATCATTTTACATTTGACACCAAAAACGTATACCAAATATGCCCAGATTTTTGATCAACGATTAAAGAGGGCTCTGTTTGTGATCAACACCACCTAACATAACAATGTTGTCTATATACACTAAATGATGGGTACTTTCTTGAGAATAAACCAATCTCTGTGGAGTAGTAGGTAACCAGGGTTGTGGCCGACAGCGCGTCTGTGACAGACTTAGAGAAGCATAGTGACAGCGAGCATCCGTGGCGGATACCTGGTTGTCTTCTCTGCCAGTGACAACTCTCCTTAAGCCCTTACACTTGTGTGCAGATTCGAGTAGATAGCCTTGATTGGCATATATTCGCTCATTACTCATCAAAATCGGTCACTGCCACAATACCCATTGGTAGGTGGAGTCGAATGCCAACTTCAGGCCGGAAAACGGGGGAGGTTCTGGGCACCGGTAAGTTTTTCTTTCAAAGACTGATGGCCTGGTCAACAACATCGTCTCCCCGGGTTCGTTTTTCTCAAGCTCTTGTTAGTTGTCATATCTTGATGCACTATTGATTAAACTGATTACCATGTGGTTGTCACGCAAAGACATCTTTCTTATAAATTTAAATATTTATTTGAACCCCACGTTATTGTACGTATTATTGAAACCGTAAGGTTCAGATAAAGTTGAGTTTGTGTTATCAAGTGAGATTTAAAATTTCTGTACAACTAAAGAGTAGCTGTGTAATAATTTTCAACGTTTTTATTCTCTTAATCACCTTTTCTAGGACTAAATAAAGATCTGTTGTTCGTAGTGGCTTTAACGTCTCACGTTTATCTGATGGGTGCAAATAGGTTGTTTTAGCTTATCACCTACTATCTCTTGTCACTGTTACATAGATTCATTGTCGTTTTTTTCACTTCTATCGGATTGGATGTTAACTTCTATAATATTATTAATGTTGTTAAGTAACCAACCTCATATCTTTTGTATGATCCCATTTTCCTTTTTATGCTATTATGCTTTCTAGTAATCCTGACATTTACACCCTATTTTATGAGACATGCCACATTTAATTATCTTATATCTTTATTTCCTAGTTTAATCCTGAAATTGTGACCAGACTGAAAGGTCACTGTGACCAGCTTGGTTTAACATACTGTCACCTGTTGAAATCTATCCAATTACCGGCTACTGGAAAGGTTGTGAGAGCAAGAAATCCTAGTATATTTGCAACCGGACATCTAAAAGTGGAGGTTTGTCTGTAATTTAGATAACCTTTTAAAGACAGTTTTTGCGTGTTGAATGCTAAAGGAGTACATCTAAATCAAACCAGTTTATAGCAAATCCCATAGTGTCATCAGAGGGAAATTCTAATGTCATCTTATAGATATTTAAATGTTACGTGTAAGCTTCGTAGATATGCAAGTAGCCCTTGAAGCAGTTATCAGGTGCAATCATCTATTCAAACTATAATCAATATCTCATCACCATCAGTATTTGTTGGAAATGAGTCTTTGTTGTGCGAGATGCACCTTAGTGATAATGGCTATGAGGATCTTATTGTAAAAGTTGATATATTTCTTTGGTTTTTCTTTAATCACCGTGGTTTTAAGCTAGTATTTAAATAATAAATTAACGTTAAATGCACTCACTTCAACTTAGAAGTCAACTTCTTGAATTTTAGAAAATAAATTGTAACTCGGTATTTTAATATGCATTAAAACGTAAGCGTGGACTCTTGGAGCTATTAGTACTTACTGATTGCTTAGATTGAAGTAGAAAGGATGCAGTGTTTATCTTGGTGACTTGGAGTTGAGTCCAGGACGCGCGTTTCGTCCTGTCTGGACTCGTCAACTGGATGTATCTGCACCTCAGCGAGTGATGTTCCCACTGAGACTCCGACACAGTACCCATCGCCTCTAACGCCAAAACGTTTTCCAATGGGCCACTGTCGCATGAGAGCCACTGCTTGTGCAACGGGAATAATTTGTTGTTGCTTGATACTTGTAATTTTCCGTTGCTATACAGGGTCGGATTAATCGACCTCTGTTGACAGATGGGCTCCTATGCGGATACGCCGATACTGCTGGATATTTATTATGTTGTTGGAGATCTGGCAATATCGAGGCACACTCATAGTAGCCCGCCTGTCAACAGAGTTTGAGCAATTCGACCCTGTATAGCAACAAGGAAATACACATATCAAACGACTGGAAAGGATGCAATTGACTTTCCTACCCAGTTGTCAGAATTCTGATATCCAAGCCACTGTACACTCCCTTACAAACTACGTTTTCATCTTTCCTAGTGATATTGCATTGAAATGTTTAATCTTTATGCTTCGTCCATAGACATTTTCAAGAAATTTTTGAATTTAGTAGAACGTCTCACAACTTGACAAAAGTATTTTAACTGCCCAATATTTTTAGACATAATAAAAGGTTGAGTGATTTATAACCTCATTGGTGTGTCGGTCCAACTTAATGTTACTTTGCAACCACACATGGAAGTAGTTAGAAAAGATATGGGAACTAGCGAGGAAATGAAACGAGAAGTAGGGAATGAGTATGGAATAATGGATTTGAGATTTATCCGAAGACAGGATGATTTCGTATACTCCATTTCTATCTATTTCGACTTATCAAATAGTCTCTAACTAAAACCTCGTTAGCTATAGCGACAAGACCTGCACTTAACTGCAGAACTTCGAACAGTGCTCGATAGTTTTGTGGGTGTATAAAGCTTTTCAAAATATTCTTATTCTACCCATTTGTACACATAGGGTTTGGGTAGTAGTTCACATGCATAACACATTCGTTAATTATCTAAAACGGTTCAGGTTTACAAACTTTCTCTTTTTCCCCCGAAACTTCACATCTAACCTCAAAATTCATAATTCTTCTCCCTTATACTTGAACAGTGTTTCAAGCAATAAAAACTTCAAGTTAGTTCAAAATAAAATAATTGTTTTAGCATCTTTTTAAAAAACAAATCCTTTTCGCCTGTTGCAATTTTGCCGCAACAACCACTTGCTTATGGCCAGCACTAACTTTAGACACAAGTAGAGACTGTCTCACATAGTGTCCACCGACTTCAAACCGAAGAGGGACACTGACAGATCACATTGCTACTAGCCGTCGTTGGAAGATTGCTGCTGTTTATGGAGTACTTGTTTAGACTCCGGTCACGCGCTAGTACGGGCTCGCATATATCTGCACCTTACTGGTGGCAAGAAACAGGCGGGAAGGTAACTTGTTTTTAGTCGAATGGAAAGTGAGAATATCAAGTCTGAATTTAGGGAAGAGATAGCTAAGCACTTATCTGAACATGACAGCAATGCCTATCTTGCGGAAACATAGCGTGGCGTGATATTAAGTCTGCTGTAGAAACAGCGGTAAAGGCAGTTGGTAACCTACACATGAAGGTTGGCAAACGTCATTAGATTTCCACAACGTCATCCGAACTGATCGATGCAAGAAGACTGATCCCAGCTGGCTCTCATCACGAAGAAAAGCGTGAGCAACTTAGACGTAAGTTGACTAAGAGTATTTGCTTTGATCGCGAGTGGTGGTGGGTGGCGAAACGCAGAGAGATGGAGAAGACATCAGCGTTGATTAACAACCGGCAACTGTTTATGCTTATTAGGGATACCGAAAAGAAGATGATGGTGAGAGAAACAATCACCGAAAGGGATGATACCCAGGATAGGCGTCTAGAACGTTTGGCGGAACACTCTAAAACACAGTTCAACTGGCTCCCCACGACCCTTCAGTTGCCCAACATCCAGACTGAACCTCAGTGGTACGTGGGTGTCTGCCCACCAACTCTCCTTGAAGGTGAGATAGCTGTACTGAATCTGAAATTATGTAAAGCAGCAGGATCTGACAGTTTACCACCTGAGGTTTTCAAGGATGGAGATAGGAAATTGATGAGAGTGATAGAAGTACTAGGAAGTGTATGGGAATCAGAGGTAGTTCCATCAGACTGGTCCACTCCACTAATCATCCCGGTCTGTAAGGAGGGAGAGAAATCTTGTTGTGACAACCATAGGAGATTTAGTTTGACTAATATCGTCTCCGTGATCCTATGATCCATAGTTATCCGACACCTAACTAGAGTTCGAAAACAGCAGACTAGAGAAAACGAGGCAAGTTTCGGACTTGGACGAGTGTGCGTTGATCACATTTTCACCCTCTAACAGATTCTAGCACACAGGCATACCTGCCGGTGGACAAAACTTGTCTTATTTCTTGACTCTGAATGGGGGATTCGACTCTGTCGACCGTGAGGTGTTGAGGCAGTCTGATTGCGAATCGGGTACTCAGAAAGTATATAACGCTAATCAAAGGTCTCTACTCGAACTCACGCAGCCGCGTAAGCACTTTTGAAAAGTTTTCGTCAGAATTGACGACAACTAGTGGTATCCGTCAGGGATATTCGCTATCACAGTTTCTATACAACTTTGTCATGTATGTACTAATGGACGTAACCTTAGTTACATCTGACTTCACAGGGGTTGACTTACTCCGTGGAGGTCACTGGTTGACTTGGGATATGGAGACGATATTGTCCTGCTAGATGAAGATGCTAACAAAATGCAGTTATAGTCTGATAACGTTTAGTAGAAATCTGAGTATGTTTGGCATGCACTTCGCTAGCATCTGTCAAATGAAAAGGGATGCACCAGTTCTGTTCTCCTGCAAGTACTCCCAGTTCAATGATAGGAGTGGTGGTGAAATGTCGACCACTTCCTCTACTAAGGAAGCTGTATAAACCTGAACGGGCTCTTTGCTGACGAAATGTCAGCCCGGATACAGAAAGCCTGTTTGGGATTTGGCAACTTGGGTCACCTGTGGCTCCGATTGGTGAGACATCCTACTATCTTTCAAGGGATGAGTATATTGCGCTGCTCTTCACTGTGTCCTTTCGTACGGCCGTGAGACATGGCCGTTGAGAGTAGAAGACAAGCGGTTACAGGTGTTTGATCATAGATATCTTCGTAGCATTCCTTGCGTTTAGTGGAGTCACCGTGTGAGGAATTTTGAGGTCAGTCGAAGGGTACTAGAAAAGACAGGCAGGTTGATTGATGAAGCTGTGAAACTTATTCGATCGAAATGGTTTGGACATGTACTGTGCATGCCGATCCTTCGCCTACTTCGACATGCGATGCTAGTAGGGCAGTTGGATGAGGTTGGTAGACGGTTCAGGGTAGCCAAACCAAGATGTGGCACCAGTCCATGGAGTTCATGACTATTGGCTTGATGTGTGTGGGGAGATGTAAACTCCCTTTTTGGGGTTTCTGCGAGGAGAAGGATCAGTGGTTGAGGACTCTTGGTGCCATTGTTGACAATCGGTCATAAAGTCGCAGATTTATACTTTCTTTTACATTTGAAACTTGAATATTGGCTCTAAACTTTACCCTGGGATATTTTATTCTTTGACTATCACTTTTTCTATCCACCTGTTCTTTGTGTCCTACTGCGAAGTGTAGGAGCTTCAGTTGATGCACCTGTGTGCAAGGTTTTACGTTGATTTTGGCATTGTCAGACATTGTAAAATGTATGTTCATCTACGCTATGAATCACCCTTGTATGAGCGCTTACGATACTACTTGATAATCCAAGTTGAAGTAGATGAAGTGGGTTTTCATCTATAATGGAAGAAGTTTTGTTATGTTCATAGTTGAGCCTATATAGCTATTATAACGTAATAAATTTATCGAACCTTACGTTTATCTGTCACTGAAGTTTAATTCATTTGAAAGATGTTATTAAAATAATTTACTGTATTCACATGCCATTTCTAAGTTTTCTTTTCTCATTTTCTTTCATAGTGTGATGATGAAGTTCAAATAAGAAAGTTACTTCCTGATGGATTCTGTGATGTATGGCGAGAACGTGATCAAGTTGGTGGTTTAGTACCAATCAATTTTCTGAAAATTGAATGCAGTTAATAACTTTTTTTCAGATTATGGAACGAGAAAGAAGAGATTTGTCCACCACTATTTAGTATTTATAACAGTACGCTAACCACTTGCATTTTAATTTACTTTCTATATGATTTAATGATCAGTTTGTACTCTGCTTTCATAAAATTCATCATGATCTATAAAATTCACTTTTCTCTTAAATGTTTTGTTGTTCTTGCTTTTCTTGTGTTTTCCAACACAGAATAGAATGCTTGAAATTGTAGTCTGGTTATTTATTATCAGTATTACTATTGACAACACAACCTGAAGCCTTATGCACAATGAGAGATGCACTGCGCAAAATATTGTAACGATATGAAATAAAAGAGGGGGAGGAGAGAGATAGAAATAAAGTCACAGAATGGTCACAGTGGTAATATCATGTAACACTTCTAAATGGTGTTTTTTTTCTGTCATTTTACTTTTCACTAATTGGAAGAAAGCTGCAAAGTGATCTCTTTGACTTTATCCAGACAGTCATATTACACAAACAGATGTTAGTTCAACAAAATGTTCGATGATTTGAAAATATTCATTATTGTTGTATTTGTGTTTCGGTACTATTATTAAACAGAACGAGGTTGTATATTAATGGTGGGCAATGGAATCCAGGATCCCCATTGCGTCTCACTTAAGACTCGCCAGCTGGATGTACCTGCCTCCTAGTGAGTGATGTTGTTCCCACTGGGACTCGAACTCGGGACCGACCGCTTCTAACACCAGGGCGTTACCCACTGAGCCACCTAGTCAAGATGGCCACTTCTTGTGCGGTGGGTATAGTTTTTATATTGTTATGGATAGGAGCTACTATCTATCAATAACATATAGTTGAAACAGGCAGTATCGAGACATCCGTGCCAGGAGCCCATATGCCACTAGCGGCCGATGAATTTGGTCGAATCAACGATGGGATAATTCAAGTAGGAACATAACAAGGAAGTCTTTTTACATTCATTGAAAACTGCAAAAACAATGTTTGTCCCTAGGGTTGGTCACCCCTCTGTTTGTTCTAACCACTTCTATAGTTAGTTGGATAACACGGTGTAACCAGATAGGTGGATATCGAAGAAGTCTACAGTAGGTTAAAATGGTGTGTAAAAAAGACATACAGACTAAATAGTGTGAGGATTTAAAGGGAAGACGAGACTTCATGATCTAACCACACTTAGCTTCTCTCCCATCTTAGTCACACTTCAGCAAAGATCACATTAGAATAGTTAATAGCCTGGCTTACTCATTAACACTTGTATGAGTATCAGGCTATTCAATTTCTAAAAAGCATACCACAAACACTAAAGTAATGAGTAAAATGAGTATATTCTGCTTTGAATTGTATGGAAATATGTAGGGTCTATCACTAGAGTCCCCAATATCGGTATACGAAAACAAATGGATATGGGCTTTATCTTAGTCACACATCATTATACATAATAATTTATTTTCTCTTCATATCCTTGTGAAAAAATTATTAAGCTTTTTATTTTGAACAGATTTCACTCTCTTAACTTTTAATTAATAAATTATGAGTTGTTTTATCTACTGAGGTTTAGTGTGCTAAATTTGTTTTGTGTTTTAGTATCTATATTTGTACGTGGCTGTTGAGTAACCTTTTTTTTCATTTTCTGTACTGCTTTAAAATATGGTGTATGAAAGGAAAATATTACTTTTGCTGGACTACTGTAGTCATTCACACTTTCTAATGACAAGAATAAGTAGAATATATTGTCCTTTTGTGTACTTACTTAGTTCATCTTATTATAACATCTATTAAATTTCTATGGGATGTTGCTAGAATTAGTTGTTTTACAAGAAAATATGTTAATCAACATACGTAGGAGTTTATCGGCTACTTTCAAACTTGTTCATCTGTTGTGGTTATCTGGTAGTTTTTTGCATACAATACTTTGAAAAGTGTTTGCTCCAGGACATGTTTTTGGGATTTCGTCATCAATCCTTTCCCTTGAAATCTGAAGTTGTATATTGGGGGATGTATAAAGCTGCTTTCGGAAATGAAAATTTTGAAAGTATGTTCAACAATGTCATCGATAGAATAGTGCAGCTGTTCACTAGATGATGCTAAGAAATGTATATTTTTCGTATGACGTGGGTTTGTTTGTCCTGGATCAGATATATGGCTTATTTTGAATGGTATTTGAATTAAGATAGGAGTCATAACATATTAATGATGGATAGTAGCTAGCAGTGGAATACAGGATACGCATTTCATCCTGTTTGTCAGCTGGATGTGCCTGCCTTCCAGTGAGTGGTGTTGTTTCTACCGGGATTTGAACTCGAAACCGGCCACTCCAAGTGCCAGAGCGTTATCCACTAGACCACCAAGCCACGATAACCACTTCAGTGTGCGACAGGTTTAGTTTTAGTGTTATTGCTCGTACTGTACCGTCGTTGATTGGACCGAATTGGTCGGTCTCTATTGGCATTTAGGCTCCTGCGCGGATGCCTTGATATTCCCTGTGTTTTTAATTATATAGTAATGATGGATAGTGGCTAGCAGTGGGATCCGGGATGCGCGTTTCGTTCTATTTGGGACTCACCGGCTGGAATCCTGGGGGGCAGGCACATCCGGCTGACGAGTCACAAATGATACGAAACGCGCATCCTGGATTCCACTGCTAACCACTATCCATCATTACTACATAATTAAAAACGCAGGGAGTATCGAGGCATCCTCGCAGGAGCCTAAGTGCCAGTAGAGACTGATCAATCCGGTCCAGTCAACGACGGTATAACACAAGCAATAACACTAAGAGTCAAAAACTTCTAAATCTACTTAGTCTGATTAGTAAGCAACAACAGGACAGTTTTTTGTCACTGCTGAAGCTATCCAGTTGACTGATTGATTTCTGAATATCACCTTGATAACATGTGGTTTTTTGTATGTCTCATTTCAACGAATACTAGACTCATATCTTGTTGCAGATATTTTTGTCTACTATATATAGTAGAGAAGATTTGTAGCTCAGACTGAGAATTATAATTGTTTAATGTTCTCCTAACTTTTAAGTTTGTTCTTGGATGTTTCATCACCAGGCTAGGTGAATTCAGCAGCATTTACTTCATAGAGTTTAGATGAAATAGTGGAAAACTTCCATAAAAAAGTATCCAATTTAAAATGAGCAATTTGAGAAATCAATTCTGAGAATTAGAGTAATATGTTCAACGTTATTCATTAACAAAATGAAAACGTTTTTCATTGCACTCAGCTTAATATTCCTAGCTGTCACACTTTTGTGACAATCAAGTCAAGTTTCTGTCTTTTCGGATTTATTTAATTCACATTCATTATCTGATGAATAGCAGTTTATTATTTTATTTAAGACATTGAAATTTCACTTAAGAAGTTATAAGTTGGAAGCTTGTTCTGCGTATTAAGGTTCGGGCAACCAGTTTCCTTTCAATTTCAAATAATAGTTACAAATTTTCGCATTGTACACATGCTGTATGTGATTGTTGAGCCTAGTTAAAGTCGTTATTGGTCTGGTTGAAGAGGTTCTGGCTAAAACATGACAATCACAATTGGTCACTTCTACACACTGTTTAGCTAGAGTTTTAAAAACCAGTCTGCATATATAATCATTGTTTAATGTGTAAATCAACATGTTTCTACATTTTTTTAAAATATCTATCACTGTTCAGTTTCATCGGGTTTATCCCCTAGGAGAATGACTCAATTCATTCTGGCTGCCACACTTCTTGTTTGAGGTCTTATCGTAATATGAGTACTGTGTTGGAGAGCCAAAATAGGTCTTACACCATAAAAAGTCTGAAAATTTGTAAGAGAATTCTTTTCTCTTAGTAAAATGGTTTGCAACAGGAGGGGTGTGTTCCAACCAACAAAGCAGTAATTCTGCTTTCAAGGTTTGACAGTGACAATTTCAGGCAAAGTTCATTAAATAATTATATACTACCTTGTGGCTTTTACTTGTTAGCTGTGAGGTTGTTTGAGAAACAGATGAAACTCTTTAAAGATTAGCACTTATAGAAGTAAATGATATATGTTTGTGAAATCCTGACGTTTCTTAACGTCTTGGAAGCCGCTTCTTCAGAGAATAAAACCTGTGCAAGTTATCGTATGTCTAAATAGCAAACGGTGACAGATCAGATCATGTTGTTCACACCTCATAACAATATACGGATAAATGTCCTCGTTATTAGTTATTAGCCTATGAGGTCAGGGTCAAATTGCGCCCCTCAAGTCTATGAAAACTAGAAATGTTATGCATAATGAAATCCAAGCGGATATACACTGATATCTTTATTTTTTTTCAGTTATTGTTTCACTGATTGGATAGACGGCTCTGTTTATTACCTAATAGGTCTAATGAGATCTATTATGGTCATAAAACCATTAGAAGTGTACCAAACTGATATATGAATTTTATTTAGAAGGACTGCTAACTTACAAGGAGGATGAATTATATTTATTGTCGAAATAGTCGATTCTGTGGTCAGATTATAATACAGGACTAGATTTCATGGGTTTGGTTTAGTTAGGAATACCTGGGGCTAACAGACGACTTGAACAGAACTGATTATACTGAAGATTGACCGATCCGGCAAACCCAGTTGGGGGTGGGGACAAATACTCAGCGATGTCACTGGATAAAGATTACGCTATATGACGAATGTGGACCATTTCATTTTGACTCAATAACTCAATGGTAACATGCTTTCGGCGAAACCTAGCTTCGATCCTTGATGGGGTAATGGGTGTGCACTACTGAAGAGTTCCATACTATGACGAAACACTTGCCCGGTGCTCCCAGGTTCCGAATAGTTCTTCAACTGATTTAATTCCATGATGAGTACTACCTTGAAAATGAATTCATTTCTGTATAATGGAAGAGGTATGTTTGACTTATTGTCTGTTGACTTGTGATGATTATTTCCAATTGCCCTGGAGAAATGCAAAATAAGAAAGACCAATAAAATAGGATGTTAGGCAGGACTAGGATAAGAACGTGTTCAATCCTAACCACCAGATCAGGCATGAAAGCATGTATGCTAGTAGTATCAGTCTTGTAATTCATCTCCAAGTGTCAGCTCCTATCATTCTAAGGACTATGGAAAGAGACTTAGCATCGAAACAGTTGTTGGTGATTTCCCAGATCAGTCCTATGTCTTTCCAGGACTTCTTACGTTCTGCTTCAAAGGATAAAAATCAGCTATGATTATGTATGCTCAGTGAATATCTGAGTACTGTTATGTCCTTTCCTCCTTTACTTCGTTCACCTTAGTATTACTTTCTCAACAGTTTCACTACATGTAGTCGGTACTTCAAAGATATATAGTCATATTATTGTAACGATTAGGTGATTGATCTTCAACGGTCATATCCTAGTGTTTCATTCCATTACTTTAATGCATGCTCACCATTCAACAGGCACTGAAGTTTACCTTTAGAGCAGACTAACGGATTCAAAGTGAACTTTCTGTATACAGACCAGTTTTCCACGAGCACTCTAACAATTGAAGTAACCAGAGTAATAATTCAGTTTACTGCTTAAACCTATGCAGATTATTTCTTAAGCATTGATTTGAATTTCGAAGGGGTAAAGTTTCACTTCGTAAACACTGGGGTTTTTTGGGTAAGATTTATTATACTGCTTACCTTGTGCTGAATAAGCTACCTTATGTGTATATGATTAAATGTTTCTCCCTGTTTAGGGTCGATATTAAATTTCTCTTCTGTTATTCGATTCAATCAGGAATGAGTTTGTATCTGAGGCCTGAGTTGTCATCAGAATTGACGACAACTAGTGGTGTCCACCGTGAATATTCGCTATCACAGTTTCTATACAACGTTGTCATATATGTACTAATAGACATAACCTTAGTCACGTCTGACTTCACAGTGATTGACTTACTCCGTGGAGGTCACTGGTTGACTTGGAATATGCAGACGATATTGTCCTGTTACGTGAAGATGTTAACAAAATATAGGGTCTTCTAAACGTATTGAGCAGAAATCTGAATGTTTGCCGACTTTGATGTCACTTTTTTTCCTATCCTTTAGTTCTTTGTGTACTACTGTTGAATGTGGCAACTTGAGTTGATGCACCTGTGTACAAGGTTCTTCGTTGGTTTTGTATCTGTCTGACTGACTGCCTTTTAAAATTTAGGTCTTCTATTTACCGACATGGGTAACTAAAAATGAAGTCATATGGTTTATTGTTATTCAGTGCGTTTATCCTATTTTCAATTCAGTCACTGCCGGTTTCATTTTTGTTGTTATTGCTGTCATTTTGATTGTAACAATAAACGTTTTTACCATTTCATTCATCTCCAGCATTATATGGCTAATCTTTCGCGTGTTGGTAAACTGGTCTTATCGCGTACAGCGTTACTTTTGTGTGATATGCAAGAGAAATTTCGTCCAACTATTAGTCATTTCAATGCCATTGTTGAGACATCCAGTAGAATGTTAACAGCTGCACGTTTACTAAATATGCGTACTGTGGTCACAGAAATGTATCCGAAAGGTTAGTTAAAAATTTAAACGAAAAATGTTTACTGATTTCTATATCACTCGTTCTATTGTATCCTGCTACATGAAAAAATTCACTGACTGTTACTCTGAATTACCGAAAAGTTCCCACTTCCTACTCAAAAAAGAGTCACGTAGCGCTTGGAAAAGAGTAAGCATTTATTTGAGATACGTTCGGAAAACCCATTAATACTCATGGGAATTACACTGTGATCATCACTATTTCCGATTCTGAATTATTCCTTGTAGCTTCTCAAATCACGAAGGGGCTTAATTTCTTGTAAACGCTCCACTCAAGATGTCGTCATCTACTGACAGACGCTAACTGTTCCCCACCACACAGCGCTACTTCATAAAGTGACCATAGCTTTGCTTCCTCCTACGAGTTCCAGCATCATTAAACAATAACTCAAGTATCGCATGAGTGTTCGATGTCTAGAATTTCAGAACTCCTGTTTCATGATGACTTCAGTTATTGGATGACAATCTGTATTATGAAAAACTCAGTCGTAAATCGAAGTTACTCACAAGATGCTGTCACTAGATACAAACAAAAGTATGGAGAAAATATTGATCGAAACCATAGAATCATTAGATATACTCAACTCAGAGAAACGAGGCTGTACGGATGTAGATCATCAGTTTCCATACAGAAATATTTTACACCTGACCTCTGACTTTCAAACTAACATCATGCTATGACTTACGACATACAATTAGAAATCTGAAATATCATGTTGGAACATATAAGCTTTTCGACTAATTTAAACACTTAACCTCCAGAAATTAGTTTGGAACTCATTCTTGAGAAGTATTTCATATTTTTTTAGTAGCCCGAAGGCTAAGTTAAAGGTATTTTTCACTTTCAAACAGCTTACCCGCATGCACATATATATCAGTTTACCAAGTAATGCTGTCAGATACTCTACATAAGGACTTAACATCAATCTCTATCAATTTAGGATTGGGTCCTACTGTAAAGGAGTTGGGAGATTTAAGTGGAGTTCCTGTTATTCCAAAGAGATCTTTCACCATGCTAACGGATGAGGTGATGAACATTTTGGAATTGGGTAGCCATACTGATTCCGTATTAATATGTGGTCTTGAGACACATGTGTGTGTTCAGTCAACCGCTCTAGATTTACTTGATCGAGGAATACAAGTTCATTGTATTGTAGATGCTGTTTCTTCACGGAGTATGATCGACAGGTAGGTTAAACATTTATAGATTTGTTAAATTAAATTAGATTATGGTACAGTTTTTAACATTATCTCTCCCGTACACATTCCTTTTAGGTATTTGCTTACCTTGAGTTTGTTTATCACTTAGTATAAAGTTAAAGATACATTGAACACTTAAATTTTGAATAAGGTTGTAAACTGGTATTTGTTTATTTAAAAAATAGTAATAATGTTAATTACTTTTCCATGAATTTATTTTCAAGCTGTACATTCATATACATATGGTATTTGAAAAATTATATCCCGTGGGGGAAATAAAGCACTATATGATGAAGACATAGGTATTTGTGATTATGATAACAGTTGAAGTATGAATGATAACAAAGTAGATTACGTAATATATAGAATGGTTCATAAAAGGTATATAACTGAGAAAAGAGTAAAATTGACGAAAGTGGTAAATAAGATTAGACAAGTTGATCAAAATGAAATCACTATCTTCTAAAAGGATCAACATTTGACTGTATGAGATAGCGATAGTTTGACAGACTAGTATTTATACTAGGTGATGGTTGAAGGTGAAATGAAAATTTGGGCCACTGCCGTATTCGAACCAGGGACCATTAGGTTTCTGGCCTGATCCTTTACCAACCGAGCTACGCGGTCCGACTGCTGACCAGATTTTTATTTCACTTCAATCACCATGGGTTTTTCCAGACTACCATGTGAATTCGTGACGTGTTACTACCACTTGATCATCAATCATCACTCAGTATAGATACTACTCTGCCAAACTACAGCTATCTCAGATAGTCAAATGATAATCAATATGTTGCTCCCCTCTTTAATTTAGTTAGGTTTGGATTGGGCAGCCAGTGTGAATGCGATCAAGCGGTAGTAACACGTCACGAATTCACATGGTAGTCTGGAAAAACCCATGGTGATTGAAGTGAAACAAAAATCTGGTCAGCAGTCGGAACTCATATCTCAGTTGGTAGAACATCTGGCCAGAAATCCGATGGTCGCTGGTTTTAATACGGCCGTGGTCCAGATTTTCATTTCACCTTCAATCATCACCAAGTATAAAAAGATTAAAACGAAATACAAAGATTAAATTAACAAAGTGGGAGGGAGAACTAATAGGAGTGAAAAAATGTCATGGCGATGGTAAAAACAGTGACTACTTACATTTTTTGCACACACAATTCAAGTTTTAGTTCATGAATAGCTAAAGCCTCCGCTGTTCTAAGGAGTTGACAACGAAGAAAACGTGGGAGGTTTGAGCGAATTTGATAAATAATTTCAAGTCATTGTCTGGATTTGTTGAGTGATGGAAATCAATAAAATGTTTTAGAATCAAACTTCTAACCTACTTCCTTTCAGCCTTATAAAAGCAAGCTGGAATATGTTCTTGTATACGTGTAGAAAGCATTCTCTGGCTACGGCTAATGTACCTTGCTCCATTAGAGCAGGTGAACTGGTAGATACACATAGAGGCGGCCAAACTGTCTTCATATCATATAGTGTTTAACTTTCCTCACGGGATATAATTTTTCAAATATCATATATATACGAATGTATAGCTTGAAAATAAATTAGTTGAAAAGAGTCACTTCGCTGCATATCTTATTCTTGACGTTACAGTGGGAATGATCAAATTATTTTTCTGTTGTTTACATTACTGAACTGAAATATTTTTCCCCTAACCATGCCTTAGCATTGCCATAAGTTTCATTAAGATATTGGTTGTTTTCTGATAGCCATCGGTTAAGTCTAGGATGTGCTTTTCAACTTATTTAGGATACATCAAATGGTTATATCTACATTTGTTTCATGATAATCAATTCCCCTAAGACATTACACAAATAAACACTGTTATGCTCAAGTCCTTAATCTGACAGAGATACATTCATTTACACCAAACCCAAGTAAGCATAAAACACATCTTGGATATCGCTCCAAGCCACCACCGTAAACACTATATTCTGATTACTTTTTTGACATTAGAAACTATAGTTTTTTCCATTTCTCCAAAGTACCTCAAAAATTCTACACATGTTTGTAATAAATCGCTTACTTTGTTTTTCACATTAAAAGTGTCTAAGAAACTAATGAGTAACTGTAGTTGAGTATAATTTATTAATTACAAATAATGCAACTCAACCGGATGCAGGTTGGACCAAAAGGTAATAAGGTACTCATATTACATGAAGATTTGTGATATCACTTGCTTGCCTAAGTTAACGTGAGTGAAAAGAGTCTAACTCCGGATTCATTGTCTGTAAGTCAGTTGCCTAGGCAAACAGGTTAGTATTTCGAAAACATAGACAAGGAACTCCACTTGATCTAGATTTCATACTTATCCTGATTCATTACCAGGGCAAATCTACAAGGTGGAGGAAATTGGCGTCACTCATTGCTTAATTGGAGAAGCCACCGTTGGACTAAGCATACCTTTAGAACCCCATCAAGTACATTGATCAGGAGTCGGAAAATACTCAGTGTTGATCAGCCTAGTTTTATTGTTCACCAGATTATGTCAGTTATTGAGTGTAATGGTTACATAGAACATCTAACTGTTCGACAAAATTCGGTTGTCACTGAAGACTAAACTATGAAACATCAATTCCTCTCTAATATGTCTGAGTTGAAAGAAGGAATCATAGTATATTTTTTGCATGAAATAGAGAATCTAATCACAAAAGAAAGCAACTTTAAATATACTACTTAGAAAATGAACTTTTAAAACTAGTAAACTCGCTATATCAGTCACTTAGTCAGTCTGTTTCTGTGTTGAACAGCCTTAAAAAAATCTATGAAAATTACTTGATTAAAAAGGATATCGTATTTCGGTTGTAATTTTAATGTAGATAGTCAATAAAGAGAACTCAATCTTGTTGTTAGGACTAATTAAAAAACGGGGCAAAATAAAAAACTGAAAATCAGAGAAAATTTCGATGGTTTACCTGATTTTTTTTGGCTCATTATAACTCAGATAAACTATGGCTCATTGACCATCCGAACAATAGATGCATCTACTCTGGGTTAAGAAACTACATTGCATTATGACCTCTCATGCCTTAGTGGAGCTGTTGCTCATCTGTTAAGGCGGCTTACTTTCAATCAGTGGTTCACGGGTTCGAACACCACTCCACCTACCGAGGTTTGGGCAACCAGGTAGTATCATCAGCTTTCGCACAATAGGTATAGTTTATTTCCCAGTTTATGAATGTGCGTAGGTTTGCTCAGTGTGTTTCGTTTCGTTCGTCTTCGTTCTCATGCATTATATGTGGCTCATAATCTAGCACATGAACATGAAACCGGTAGATGGGTGGCATTATTTTATTGATTGTGGAGTGACCAAACTTCAGTCATGAGTAAATTTTTCGTTAGATGGTTACTTTAACTAGATTACGTCATTAGAGTATAGTTTTCACTACGAAATAATGTCATTGAAACTGCTGCTAAATTTAGAGAACACACTGAACACTTTATCAATCTTTCCTAGTCTGGATATTTGATATATAGAATTTCCTATAGGGCTTTCCAATCTCTTAGTGAACATATTTATCATTAAAACAATGTATAACAATTCAATAGTCAACATTTTTTAAAAATTACTTTAAGTCATGACACTATTTGTTTGTCCTGCAATGTCATTATAAGCCATCCATTGAATCAGTTATCCATAATCGTAAAATAAGTTTTATAGTATGTGCACCCTTGGAGTAAGACAAACCCGTCGTTCATTACCTCATAGTTTTAAGAAAGTTATTGACCTATGTAGAATTGTGAGAGCTGAATTAAAGAGAAATGCACTTTGATTCCAAGTTTATTTGAGTAAAATTTGGTGTTTTGGTGATTTTGAGTTCTATGGGCTTGATATTCTAAACCTGAAGCTTTCTTAATCCTCCTAGTTTAAATCATAAGTAAAAATTTTAAAAAAAACAGTGATCAGGATTTCTACACAAACTATTCACTAGCTAGTCCTTATGTCTTGTGGTATGACTGGTTTCTCTAGTATTTTTGATATCATCACCTGTATATTTACTCTGATAATCTGCTTTATTAACCTTCGAATTACTTCTTGTTTTTCATTTTTCGATACATTGAGTCTGCTACAAAATCAGCCTTCACAGAACGGTTGACAGTCAAATTTTGTTGCAAAGGTAGTATCAATACTTTGATTGTTAGTTTTATTTCTGCCTCCCTAATTATCCACTTATTACTGGATTATTTCTGAAGTTAGTATGTCAATCGCCTATTTCAGCATTTAATATCAAACAGGTCTTAGTCCCTGTGTTTCGAAGAGAGGCTTAAATGCTGATGAAAAAGATATATTATTATTATCTGTTGGTGCTTGTAATTCTCCCTTCTTTTACTGCATGGAATTGAAGGATCTCTTTTGGCATATGGGCTGTTATGCGAATGCCTCGATATTGCCTGGATGTCGAGTGTTTTTTATAACCTGCCTGATGGTGGCCAGCAGGGGAATCCAGAACACGTGTTTCATCCTATTTAGGGCTCGTCAGGTGGGTCCTTTGGGTCTCAGTGGTCTAATGGGAAACACTGGAGCTTGGAGCTACTGGTCCAGGGTTCGAATCCGGGTGAGGGCACTGTCACTCACTGGAGTGCAAGTACGTTCAGCTGACGAGTCCCATATAGGACGAAACGCACGTACCTAACCTAGATATTCTTTGTTTCATATTGCCGCTATAATTTCCTTTTTCACGCAATCCACAGAATCAATGAAATTTACGGAAGAGACAAAGTAATGCTTGATTAGATAAAAAGGACACATCACTCTATCAGTCTATGGTTATACCAGAATGCGTGAGGTACTCTCAGTGTGAATGAATCCATCATTACGAAGCCACTGGAGCATTAATCTTACTTGTGTTTTTACTTGCTAATAGACGTCAATCAGTACCGTCCAATTGCATCAGTAAAATTAAGAAACGAAAGTGGTTTAACCATAATAAACTACTTAGATTTAATAGAAGGAGACGAAGTATTATTTACTTTATGCTATATCTTATGAACAAAGATAACCGTGGTTAAATTCTCGACTGGAGGAAATACGTTTTGGTTTATTTTATTTCAAGAGAGATTACCTTTAACCAACTAATTTGAAATAAGTTTTCCATTACTTTGCACTAATTAATTTCATCCTTGTTTTAGAATAGTTGGATTCCAACGAATGCGCCAATCTGGTGTCTATCTAACAACATATGAATCAGCTCTCTTGACTATACTTTGTGGTTCCGACCATCCACAATTTCGGGATATTCAAAAGATTATCTTAAAGCCTACTCTAGATAGTGGTTTATTGACTGGATTCAGTGAACCAAATTTAATTGGACGATAGAAATAGAGATTAAAGGAGTGTAATTTTCTCCTTTTCCTCTTTTCTCTATTTCTTATCTTTGCCGATTATTTAGTTACTTTTATATATGTTTTTATCCATACAGACGTCTGTATGTTGTATACTTGACCAGCTGGAGACGATTCAGTTTATGTTAAATGGAAATATATTTTGTTTTTTTAAAACTGGCCTTCGAACTTCTGCTTACCACGATTCTACGATGAATATCAACTTGAAATATTTCCAAATCCCCACAACTCCCTATAAATTCAATTGAACTGGTGATCATTGGTGACTAGCTTCGAGAGATATTCCCGAAGTTCCAATAAGAAGTCGTGACCGGTGGGGGCAAAGCGTGATGGTCGTGAGGACAATAACTCAACGATGACATCGGGTGGCGGTTGCGCTATATCGTGAGCTAACAGAAGTTGGAAGTATGGACCATTGGGTTCTGACCCAGTGGCTCAACGGTAACGTGCTGGCCAGGGAACCTGAAGGTCACGGGTTCGATCCCTGGTGGGGTTTGTGAGTGCGCACTGCTGAGGGGTCCTGTACTAGGACGAAACAGCTGTTCGGTGCTCCTAGGTTTCCTTTGTTCCTCCAACTGATGTCAGTATACGATGAATAACATCTTGAAGTATAGAAATAGTGTTTAAAGGTGAAGAAAAACTTGTGACCCTTTATTTGACACTGACACAGTAGGCATTATTGTCGATTTGAGGTCAATTTCATTTCAGTCTGGTAAACTACTGCATTCACTCGTCATATGAATGAAAGGTGTATAAGCTGTTCGTGTTGTCTGAATAGTTGGTAGGATACCTGGATATTTATTGATGGTATATGTCTACGACATTGAGGGAACTGATTCTCTTTGAAGCTTGGTCCGTCATCATTTAATAGAGCAAACCTATTATGTTACTGCTGAGTTATTATTCCACATATATTTAGACTGAAATGTTACATTTTCGAACTGTTCAGTATAAAATTTTAAAGTATTTACTGTGTAACACGTGTGCCCTGCTTTCGTCATCTGACACTACATGAATTGGAGAATCCTTGGTAGATATAGAATGCGCGACTTTGATATCCTACTGCCAATTAAGGGTTAAGTGTACTGTGCTGCAGTCCACTCGGTTCTACTGTATGGCCGCGAAACATAACCATTAAAAGCAGAAGACATGAGAAGGCTTTTGGTGTTTGATCACTGTTGCCTTCGTAGCATAGGCCTATGTCGTGGTGTCACCATGTGAGTAACGGAGAAGTCAGGCGTAGAGTTTTAAGCAGGAGAGGTAAGACACTTTATGCGGTTGTGAACTCTCATCGATTGAGATGGCTGGGACATGTGTTACGCATGCCTAGTCGCCGTCTATCTCGTCACACAATGTTGCGAGAAGTAGGTTCAAGCTAGAAAAAGGCTTTAAGTGGCCAGATTAAAACATGGCATCAATGCATGAAGTTTTTGACTGGTGATTGAGCCATATTGGGAGAGGTAGACTAGCCGGTTGAGTTCCACATGACAACCGAAACCTATGGTTGTAGACTCTAGGTGATATGGTTCAAAATCTATGACTGTGGTGCAGATACATCCACATTTTATCTTCATCTTAACCGTCATTTTCTCATCCCTTTTTTCTCTCTTTAACTTCTTCTAACCGATTTTTCTCTTTTCATCCTACATCTTACTGCTTAGTTACTTATTGTGCTGATATGAAGTGTGACAACTTGGACTGTTGTGCAGTAATACCTGGTTCTATGTTGATACTGATTGATTGTTAGAATACATATAAAATTTCAGCCTTCAAGATTTTCCTTTATTGTAATGTTTATTAGGAGGATTGATTAGTTTGCGAATAGTTTTCATAACCAACCCACATTATTTGACAAAATCATCTGAAAACAAAAAGCACAGAACTTTTATTCCAACCTACTTTGTATCTCAACAGGACTCACAGCCATTCTTATTAGTGATGAAAACTAGGTACATCATATCTGAGAGCTAGCACGTCAACCACTAGTTCAAAATTCATTTGTTCACATGCTTTAGCTCTAGTTAGTTCGTGAATAGACATGACCATTCAATAATCATTCGGAGTCCAATCATGTAGCACTTTCGTGTGTACTGCTAAACGGTAACAAATTGGGCTAATACAATTGTTCACTGTTTCCTAGATTGCAGTGAGTCTCCCGATTATATCAGAGCATGATGAAGAATATCTTCAAAATTTCTCCTACCACATATGATTAGTAGTAAAGCTCGCCATATGCTATTTAGCCTGACAACCAGATACAGGTTTGTGCATTCGATAACAGGTTATATCTATTGCTTAGAAAATGATGACATTATGTGGTTCGGGACCGTGACTTATTTGTTGGAAGTCAAGTCTCGAAACTATTGTACCACAAATCCACAGGCAAATGAAGGAAATATAGGATAAGAATGAATGCAAAACATTATCCTACGCCTTGATTGAAAGACCCAGATGGTTAAGTCAACGTAGGAACTGGTACGTAAGCCCATCGAGTTAAGATGCCACAATTCACCGTAGTTTTCAAGAAGTAAGTGTTTGGAAAAAATGTATGAGAAGAAAAAGGATTCGAAAATTGTAGGTTAGTAAGTGTGTTCAAACTTTCGAAGATATCAGAGAATTATTTCATTTGCGCTATTGTGACCAGTCTGCGATTATGTTATTAACATCGATTTCTATTACCTTGAGGACTTTAGTCAGGCAGCCTATACTTCCTACGCCGCTCAGATCAGCATTCCTAGACTTCATGGAATGATGCCATCCCATGGTCTGCTGATGCTTAACCTTTTTCCGACCCAATCCTACTTCGGTTAACATTGGACATCGACATATGTGGTGGTTGGGCATGCGCAACACATGTCCACGCCACCTCAGTTGGTAAAGGTTCACAATCTTATCGACTAACTTACCTTTCTAGCCTAGTACCCTACACTTAGTCTTATTGCTTCCCTCAGGATTCCACCATACGCGAGCGATGCTAAAAAGACGCCTGTAGTCGAAAACCTCCAAACTTTTTGGACTTATTTTTGATGGCCAGTTGTTCCCCAGCTGTATTCTGAGACAGAGCGGACTACATGACAGCATACTTGTCCTCTAATAGGTAGTTGGGTAACTCACCGGTGCCAAATATAACCTGATTTTCAAATCCCAAACTGGCCTTTTGCATCCGAGCTGAGATTTTGCCGATAACCAACCTATTTGGGCTGATGCAACTTTCTAAATAAGTGAAGTGGTCAACCCATTCAGTTAGTTCGCTTCATATCCTTAAACTGGGAGTAAGTGGAAATTAATTTTGGAGCATTATCTTGCACTAGACGGGTGCCAAACATACTCAGATTTCCGCTCAGGGTTTCTTGAAAAGGTTATGGTGAAATAATACCTCAATAATTTCACTAAAAGGAGAGTAAATCAAGATTTGAACAGTTTCATTTTTCGTAGACTGTATTTGCTATGGTCTAACTACATCGTGAATTTCACCAATTATTTATTATCTGCTATCTATATATGCTTTACATCCATAAGTTGCCTCTGTAATAACAAAGATATGATCTAAGCCTTAAACGAAAGTCAGGTTCGTCGGTGAAATGGCCTTAAACTATCGTTTAAATGTGACGATGTTTTCAGTCTCAAAGTAAATAACTTGAAGCAAAGATACGAATAAATCAAGACGTGGCACAGTTGTTGACTCAGATCGAAACATGAAAGAGAAGAATCAAGTCATAACACAACTAACATTATGAACAGTGAAGAATTGGGGGGTGAAAAACAAGGAGTAATGTTGCGGTCTACGCTTACTTTATGAAAAGTTGCATAAACATCGACAATTCCATCACCTGCTTTGGAAATAGAGTCTTGAACAGCAAATTTGTAGCGTACCAGGTGCTCGAACAATAAAGTTTATGATTTGCGTCAGACTAGAAAATGTAGGCTTAATGATTTAGTGTCATGACTACTATACTGAAGCTAAATCGATCTTTAACAAAGACAACCAGTTAAAGCACACAGTGTCCAGTTATATTCGACACTTGTTCCAACCAACACTACGTGATGATTCACAACATCCATTGATGACTTCGATCAGAGTAACTAACCTAGTGACTTGACTGCACTAGACCTAGTTTTTGAAGCTACCTTCACGTAGCTACCAAACTAAGTAATCATACATAATGTTTGGATAGCATATAAGATAAAGTTTTGTTAGCTACCAGTCCTACTGATGCCGTAGACGTGATCAAACACTCCCATCGTGTGTATAATCAAATATAACTTTGTTGCAAACAAGTTCTCAGGCATCTGAGAAGTGATAAATATAACGAACAGTTGCTTGAAAAGAATTAGAATAGTAATTTTTGTCAGTAACTTTAGTGCGTTTTATTACGTCATTGTATCCCCTAGGGTATCTTTGGCAAGAAGGCCATTACTTCAGGCTAGGGATAAAAATTTCCATCTTCATCTGTATGTTTAAGTCAAATTCAGATACATCAGGATAGATCCTGGCAACCACAAGGACTGGAGTAAGTAGCTATAGGAGCTCTGAAGCAAAACAGTTGAATACCACCTTTAAGTGAACGAATTTACCTAATGTTAAGTATTTATGTCATCTTAAAATCGTGAAATATTCACAGATGGCATTGGGTGATGGTCATACTATATTGAAAATTGACAGAAAATATGAACTACTGGATCCCGATACAGTGGCTCAATAGTAAAGTGCTAGCGGTAAAGCCTGAAAACCCTTTGTTCGGTCTCTGACGAGTCACGTGTAGGCATTGCTGAGGCTCACATACTGGAATGAAGCAGCTGTCCAGTACTCTCAGGTTCTCAGTGGTTCTACAACTCATCTCCTCCGGGATGATGTCCACAAGTGTTCTTTCTCCGTTTGATTTCAATAACGCTGCCTTGAAGATTTCAGTAGAAGGTTCTGCTCTACCGTCTAATTGTGAATGATGTATCAGTGAGTATGATTTAGACCATTCTGATCTGATTAGCGAAATTAGCAGCTTATTATGAATGGTTCACAAATATTTGAATTACTCATAAGTATTTGATTTCATAAGTTTACAACATTTTTGTCAGTGTTTGCAATCGATGCTCTTGACTGGGAAGTTTCCCAAAGTAATCCCACTTGACGCTAGTGGTGGACTGTAAGGAAACCTTTC